CCCCGCCCCCTCCCCTTCCCCGCCGCCGTCCCCGTCCCCGTCCCCTTCCATTTCTGCAGTCTCCTTCAGCGCTGTATTATAGATAAGTGCACTCCCCTCATTCTGGCATCTTGATTTTAAATAGTTTGTGTCTGGTAGTCACATTTTCTATTGTGTTGACCCAAAAGTTTATAATACCTCCCTCCACGTTTTTATCTCTACCACTTTTCTCCTTTGTGATGGTCCTTAAAATCCACTTCTGGTATCTCCTTCTGTGGCGGTGTCACAGTTTATGTCTTTGTCCTCATGGGAGCAGTGGGAGGAACATCTTGCCCAGTTTGGCAGGGCAGTGTTCTTGATTGTTGCATGGGCATGATTCTAAGGAGCTGATTTTAGGAACAGCAGACTGTTCAACCTCTTAATCCTGTTTTGTCTTTCATGGACTGATCGTGGGCAATTAAACAGGCTTTCTCTGTCAGAGAGAGTACACACAGGACTGGTGTGGGGGCAAATGACTCAGTGATGCTTTTTCAGAGCTATATTCATAGCACAGTCCTGGAGAGAGAGCTTTAGTGAACTAGCCATGATACCTGACCTGGGAGTGCTTGTTGACCCCATACAGATTGTGGCAATTAGTTCCACTTACATTATTTTCCAGTAGCATAAAAGCTCTCTTTCTCTATCCTCTGCCCACATCCCCCTCTGATCTTGGCTCACTCTTCATTCGTCAACTTCATTCCCTGTTCCCCTTTCGACTCATTGTTAGCTCTAATTTTCTCCTTCCTCCCTGACACTGCAGTTCCATGGACCTCTCCGAGATCCTGAAGGAAGGAACAAAGGAGTCTCATGATCGTGCAGAGAACACTCGATTTGTGAAAGAGTTCCTGAAAGGCAAGATTCGGCGAGAACTGTTTGAGGTGGGACTGATCATAGTCTGTTGTTTGTTAGCAGTTAGGTTTCCCAGCAGATTTTTGTGTAGCCAGAGATGTGTAGCAACATGCGATACAGAAAGGCCAACATGGGACATAACAAGTTTGATTCCACCAGAAACCAATGTGGAGCGGAAGTAGGAAGAATGGATCCATTGACCTGTACAAGATTTTGGCAATAAATTGTGTGATTACACAAATGCAAGCAGTTTGGCAAAGGCTGAGCTCAGCACGTCACCATTTATATGCATCTTTTTTTTTTGCCAGAGATTGAAAATGCCATGATGTGAACAGGGCCTGTCACCAGCTGGATGAGTTCCTTGGTCCCTTTACAGCTAGTCACTCAATCCCATCACCCACTCTGACTTTGTCATGAAGATCTGCTATTTGAATCCATTTAGGATGAAGGAGTTGACACGAGTACTTCTGGTTTAAGATTTTAATCTCATTGCCCAATCAGGAAGGGTTGTTTAAAGATCCCTATTCCATCCAGCTGTCTACTCTTTAAACAGTTGGGATATTTGCTTTTTTTTTTGACTTTCCCTTGATTTCCAGGTAACTAATAAGATCACAGTATAACACAGAGCTTACAGATTAGGAGACAGTTTTTACCTCTGCCCTAAATAGGTACTGCTGTTGTCTCAGATTTCAAAGTTGTGTATTTAAGTCCCATTCCATGTCTTCACCACATGACTGAGGGAGTGCTGCACCATCCGAGGGTGAATGCTAAGGCAGTGCTGTCCTGCTTGGTGGTTGTTAGGTGTTCTTTAAGCCAGTGCCATAAAGACAGAGTATATGATTATGATCACGTTATTATTTGTGGGATCTTGTTATGCACATATGGATGCATTCAAAATACTGACTACACTTCAAAAGTATTCACTTGTCCTTAAACTGCTTTGGGATGGCCTGAGATTAAACAAGGTACTATAGAAATGCTAGGCTTTACAGAAACTTCATGTTTTAAGTTGCTCCTGCTTAAACTGTTCAGCTTTAATTCTGTGGTACAACGGGGTCAGTATGTGCACCTAGCATCATGATCTTCACTTTGAGCAGGCATCCCGTGACCCGATGCCATTTTAGAGCAGCCACTCCTGCAACCACCTTTCCTTCTGTTTGCCATGGCCGTTTGCCCCTTAATGCTGTCAATTGCAATTTCTTCCTCTCCCAAGGCATCGAAGTAGTACAAAGAGTTAACATATTTCTTTCACCTTTTAAACTAAAATGGATTTTAAAAATAAGTGTACGGTATTTAAACAATGGGGAGGGGGTTTTCGCAGATCAGCAGAACTAACTTTGCGATTTGGTGTCCTGTTCTATTCCACCTGTGTTACAGTTGGGCACGGTTGCCCTCTACTTCACCTACTCGGCGCTGGAGGAAGAAATGGATAAAAATGCAGACCATCCCGGGTTTGCTCCCCTTTATTTCCCGCTTGAATTGCACCGCAAGGATGCTCTGGCCAAGGACCTAGAGTACTTCTATGGGAAAGACTGGCAGGATCAGATCAAGTGTTCAGAGGCCACAGCAAGCTATGTAGAGCGGATCCATCATGTGGGGAAGCATGAGCCTGAGTTGCTGGTGGCACATGCCTATACCCGCTACATGGGTGACCTGTCAGGAGGTCAGGTGTTGAAAAAAGTGGCGCAGAGAGCACTGCATTTGCCCAGCAGTGGAGAGGGTGTGCAATTCTACACTTTTGACAACATTTCCCATCATGCTCGATTCAAGGAGCTGTATCGATCCCGGTTGAACACTTTGGAGACCACTATGGAGATCAGGGAGAAGATTGTTGAGGAAGCCAACCGAGCCTTTCGCTTCAACATGGAGGTGAGCATTACCGAGGGGTGTTAACTAAGTACAGTGCAATTCCCACTCTCAATCTTAGTGTTCTGCATCTTCCAGACAGTTGTCATGTGATGCACCCAGTCAGGGAACAGAGATCCAGCAAGCTTTCACCAAGTGAGGCAACACGAGTGAGGCACTGCTGTGTCATAACACACAACAGGTACAGAAAATGGCAGAAATAATTTGGGTTACAACCTTATGTTGGATTATTCCCTGCTTTTTAAGTGTCTCTTGGTACAAAACATTGCCCACTTTCCCAGCATATGGAATGTTTGGCATTTTCTGTTACGATTGATTTTTAGTGTTTTTATTTTGTCTCGTGTTGAAACAGTTGATACCCATCGCCCGTGCTCATTGACCCACAGTGGCTCCAGGTTAAGCAACAGCTTGATTTTTTTTTTTTTTTTGTTGAAATGCTTATTCTTGTTTTCAAATCCTTCCGTGACCTCACCAACCACCTCACAGTCCCACTCTGTAATCTCCTCCAGCCCCATAATCCTCCTGATATATCCACATTCTTCTATTCCTGGCCTCTTCAACATCTCTAATTATAATTGCTGCACTCTTGGTGGCTGTGCCTTCACTTACCTGGGCTCTAGGCTCTGAAGTTTCCACTCTGAATGCACTCCACCTCTCTATTTTTCTCTCTTCGTTTAAAACACTCCTTACAACCTGCTTTTGATTAAGCCTTGTTACTTGTCCCAATATATGGAGCTCAGCAAGTTTTTTTAAAAAAAATACTTGGGTGTAGCATCCTGGGAAATTATGATAAGCCACTCTTTCAACATAAGTTGAAAAACAGACTTCTCCCTCTTGTGTAGTAAAGGCTAGAAAATTACTAACATGTACCCTCAGACAATTGTACTTGTAACAGTGAGAGGGCTGGTTTACTGGCACTACTCGCAGCCATGAAAATGGGGAGCCTGTGTTATGTTGAGAGAACCCATGATGCTTCTTCTGCAGTAAAATAATCTATGCTATAACTCCACCTGTTTGTGTCTACTATTGATTGATTGTGCCAGTTAGTTACTGCTTCACTTTAATCTTTAATCTCAATTTTTCACAGGTTTTTGAAGAATTGGATAAGTTTGGAAAAACCCTGGGGGAAGTCCATCAGGAATCTGGGGTCCCTCTCCATGATGGAAAAGGCGATGTCCGGAAGTGCCCATTCTATGCTGCAAAAGGTATGTTGGCTGGGCCATCCTCTGGGAAACGTAGTTGGGGAGAATGTTGGAGATGCCAGAATTGAATCAAAGGAGAATAACTCGGTGTCTCCACAGTAGTTAGATGCAGTGTAGATGTTCTCATGTTATCAGTCTCTTGCCTGTGGAAAAGACAGGACAGCTGGACTCTGGCCTCCAATTGAAGTGGTCTCTCTACCTTGAGCTGGACTAGTTTATGCCAAAGGACCAAGCTTCAAACTGTTGGCATCAGAGGGTAGGACAGCATAGAGCAATGTATAGGTCCATACTTCTGTGATGTGACATATACTGTAGGTCAATGTAATTAGTTGCAGCATATGTCATTTTTAAAAAAACTCTTCTTTTTCTGTCTTTCCAGGTGATGGTGAAATGGGGTGCCCACTGCACTCTATCATGGCTGTGGTGCAGAGCTGTCCTTTCCAGCTGGTAGTAGCTGCTGTCCTGGCACTTTCTGCTGGTTGGTATCTGCTGTGATGTTTACAGCCATTACCATGGACTGGCAACAAAGTGATGCAAACCTTTCCCAATTGAGACATCCCGTCTTTACTACTGATTGAAATGCAGCTGAATTCTCGCAGGACTAGCCATGAGTCCAGAGCCTCAACACCTATCCAATTCCTCTCCCTTTGCAGCATATGGCCACGGACATAGGCCCATTAACTCAGCTCAACATTTTGCTGTGTTTAATTGTTGTGTTTAATTAGTGTTCAGGTATGGACCACTGTATACTGGCAGTGGTGGAGCAAGATGTAAATATAGCTGGCTTGAAATGCAGAATCTCGCTTGTGATAACCTTCCTGAATTGTTCACTGTAGTCCTCACTGTCACTTCTAGCAGCTGTTTTCAGAGAAAGTAAGATTTTCTAATTTACTTTGAATGAACACAGTTGATTTTAAAAACCTCAGACAGATAACGTTCCACTATGTACCTCAGAACAGTGACCTCAACAAAATGGAGAATTGTTGGAAAACTCCCATGTTCCTAGCTCAGTAGTCACCTCCTTGTGGATCCAGGCCCTGACTGATTTCCTAGGTATTGCCTGGTTGAGATGCAATTAAATGTAAAATTTCACTTTCTTTAATTAGTGATTGGACTTGAATAATTTCAGTAAGTGTGTGCCATTGTATTTATGCACATGATTATTAAATGTTGTAATGAGTCACTGGCTAAATTTCCTTATTTACACTAAATGCACTTCACAGAAATTACGGCTTGTTTAGTCCGGTGGTTAGTTTCTATTTCTTTCTTCCACTTGTTTATCTAACTTCCCCTTAAATGTATCTATGCTATTTGCCTCTGCTGTCAAGCTCCATGTTCTCTACACTGTTTCTTCTGACTTTCTCATTGGATCTAGAGTACAGAATCTTTACTAGGTACCAAATCTTATTGAAACTACAGGTACAATGAGGATAGCTGCTGTATGGAACATAATCAAACAACAGCTAAGATTCTAAATAAGTGTTCACTATCAAAAAGGAAAGTTGGAGGACTAGGACTCTAGATATCAAATACATCAACAACTCTCTCAACATCCTAAAGGACTTTCACCATGATGCAAACCTTTTCATGATATTAAATTCTTGTCAGGTCACCTTGAACCCTTCACTGTTCGTCACTTTGCAACATATGACAAAACCTCTATCAGCTGTGATCCTATACTGCATCCCAGGACAACAGCTGTTCCTTTCTTGGCAGAACTCCCAGTGGAATATGATGGACTAACCTCATTCCAAAAGGATAATGACTGAAACCTTCACGATCAGAATGTTTCACTGTTCTGCATTGTTACAGGACCTAATTTTTTTCTTTTTGGAGGATTGGGGAGAAGAGACAGTTACACACCACAAAGAACAATGGATCTGGAGTTAGTTTGGATAACCACATCATAAGACCCACTAGTCTATCTGCAAAGACACAAATACTCCAAGCAGCTAAAGGAACATATAACCAACTAAAGAAAATAACTAACAAATTCCTGCCAATTTTAAACAATCAATCAAACTCCAGGAATCATTTGTTATTTCAAGATTTATCACAGTACATAAATGGAATAAACACCTAATTTTCAGAACAATAATTTTATGTTGTCCGAAACATTGATCACATTGTAACAGCTGTAATTAAATATTGTATCAGTCACTATATTTACATGGCCATTGACACTGTACAGAATTAATCAGAACTACAAAATAAAATGTAAAGGCTTTCTTATTGGAAAATGAGTTTGTCTCTGGTTCTTGCTGTTTCGTTTCAAGGAAAAGGAATTCCTTCAACAGCTCTTGCTACTCTGGCGGTGACGGCGTAAAACATCCATCTTTCACAGCAGCACACCAGCCCACGATCTTGGTACCCAGGCTGGGCTCAGTTTCCACTCGAGCGCTTTCCTGAAATTAGTATACAGCCAGTAAAACTTTTAAAGCGGGATTCTCAGAATTTTGATTTAACACAAAAGCAGGTTGATTACAAGTGAGAACATGTGTGTATAGAAAACAAAAAAAGACAGGAATGCAGTGAAGTGTGTGAATCCTCACTAAGCATCCACAAACCCACCTATGCACTAATGAGTCTTCCAAACTTGCTTGTTAAAGCTCACAGTATTAGGAAACATCATTGGCAACTGATGTATACACTGACATGGTTTGCACTATGGCCTGATACATTAAGAATCAGAAAGACTCAGGACCCTCAGAACTTCCACCTGGTATCCATGTTTGGGGGCTGCACTCAGCTGTTAATCCTATTTGATAACATCCAGAAACTGCCACAATACTGAGCAGGGAGAGGAGTAGGGTATCCTCATATTTGTATCAATGTTTTACATCTAGTAACTGCGCAAGGCAACAAAAATAGTTTGTTAGCCAGATGGGCAAATGTTAATTGTCAAAAAGAAGGTATCCTACCTCTGATACGTCAGCTAAATATTCGCTTCAATTTAGAAAGGAATCCCTCTTTGCTTTCCTCTGGATTTGCCTTGGGCGTGTCTGACTCTTTTCCTCTGGTCTCAGTGGTTGCCTGGGCTTTAGTGCCTGTAGATACAAACAGTGAAAGCCCAGGGTCAGAATATGAGGAAACAGACTACGCCAACACATGCGTAATTAGACACAAGCCATACATGCTTGTTTTAGAGTTTAACTGGTCAGTGAGTGAGGTCAAATCAGGGATGATAACAAAAATACTAAAATTACAAGTGCTTTATCTGAATGCAGAAAGCATTCTTAACAAAATAGAATTAAGTTGTACAAAAATATAAATGGGATTGACCTCAAAGACATTTCCAAAATGGTATAACGATTAAGGTTTGAAATGAATATTCTACAGTAACTGACGTATTGAAAATAAAGACAGAAATTGGGTACTAAAAAAATTACAGAACGGTAATAGTTAGGAACAATGGTGGCTCAGAAGAGCAGATCATAGAATCAGTGTAGGTGGGGAATAAAAAATAAGAGTCAGAAAATGCTGGTTAGTGTAGTTTATAGGCCCACTGTTACCACTAGACATCATTATATAACAAATCATTTAGTAGTTTACAACTTAATCATTGCTGAAAATAGACATTTTGTCAAAGCTTTTAGTTTTCATTGGGACATCTTGTAAATACCAAAGTAAATGTAAAACATTGATACTATATGAGAGGAGAATGCTTACTGGTTGACAGGTGGACTTGGTGTACGAAATAATATATTGACAATCTAGAATTCTCTCAATCTAGAGATGTCATGTGTGGCACATGTGTACTGGAGACAACATTCGATAGTACACAGAGCCCCGTTCTTTGTAAACAAACAGACCGACTACACTTTTTGAAAAGAACAGTGACAGCCACTCTCTGGTTCATTTCAGGGCAATGCCTCAAGAGTCAACCTGTTTAGTTTGAAAATTAAACAAAGTTTGACAGTTAAATGAAAGTCATTATTGACTGGTGCATTCTCCATGGCAACACCAGAGTCTTTATAATTGTGGGGGCTTTTAATCTTCACAGTGGACAAATCAAATTAAAATAGTTTGATGTCAAATTCAGGGGTAAAGGTACAAAAGAGTATGAGGAGAGAGAGAACAGGGTACTGAATTGGATGATCAGCCATTTTCATATTAAGCAGTGGAACAGGCTCAAAGAGCTGAATGGCTATTCCTGCTCCTATATTCTATGTTTCTATAAATGGCTTCCTCCTGTCTTTATGTTCTATCAGACATCTATCAAGGTCACTCGAGAGAGGTAATTTGAGCTGTTATGGCTTCTTATTTTCTCTTTCTCAGAGCACTCTTCCTCTGGCACCATCCAGAGACCAGCACAGCTCCCATAGCACAAAAAGGATGTACAAAATTCTCATCAAGGCTTCAAACTCATCCTGTACAGCAGATTGTAAAGACTACACAAATTCTAATCTGGGGAGAACCGCAAAAGAAACTAAAGGATTTACCTAATCACAGCAAGCAGTAAAAGCTATGGGAGAGAAATAAGACTGACCATCACAAAATGTTCACTGAGATGATTCTTCCAAAGTAACTTAAAGATCATTGACCCCGTATTATTTTCACCCAGGATTGCAAATTGCCTGCTGCATTTTCTACAACAGTGGCTACACTTAAAATATCTTGTTATTTGTAAAGTACTTTGGAACGTCTTGATAATAAGTGCACCACAAGATTTTACTTCATATTCTGCTACAATCTTTTAATTTATGTTTCAATCTTCGTGACATCTATTCCACTAACTCCATGATTCATCACATAAGCTGGACTATTGTGTGCAGTTTTGAAATCCACATTATAAGAGGGATGTGATAGCGCTGGAGAGAAGCAGAAGAGACTTACCAAGATGGTGTCTGGGCTGGAGAATTTCAATTATGAAGAGAAATTGAACAGACTAGGGTTGTTTTCCATAAAGGAGAGGAGATTGAGAGGGGTTGTGGATTGACATGTACAAAATTATGAGGGGCACAGATACAGTGGACAGGAAGAAACTTTTCCCCTTGATGGAGGGATCAATGACTGGGGGCATAGATTTGACATATGAGGCAAAAGGTTTAGGAGGAGATGTGCAGAAAATCTCAGAGTGGTGGGAATCTAGAACTTGCTGCCTGCAAGAGACAGAAACCCTCATAACGTTTAAATAGAATTTAGACGTGCATTTGTGATGCCAAGGCATGCAAACCTATGAGCCAAGTGCTGGAAAATGGGATTAGAATAATTAGGTGCTTGTTTTTGACTGGCGTGACAACAATGGGCTGAAGGGCCTTAGATTTCTATGGCTCTAGTTCTTGCTGTTAGCTGATCTCACCTCCTCCTGATTTTATTTACATTCCCTGCAGACTAAGTTACAACTTTCTTGATTCCAAAGCACTTGTTCAACTTTGTGTTCATAGCATTTGATTAGTTAAATTATACTGCACATGTCTGCTGATGAAACCATTAATCTGCTTCTGACCTGCAGTGGTATTAACTACTCCATTCACTGTGCCCTCCACGTCGTTCTCCTCCTCTGCGTAAGCCAGCATCAGGGAACTCTGTCTGGCCGTCAACCTCCTGCCAAAACATTGAATTAGAAGTAACAATTAGTGTTCATAGCCAGAGAGGAACAGATCTTTCCCTAGAAAAGAAGTTCCAAAATTGATGTTCACTTTACAACCTCTTTAATCACAAGCAAACTGCTTGAGCAAACAAATCAATTACAGCTACCATTTGGTCAAAATACAACCTATTCTATGACAAAGTACTCAATCATTTGTCAAATATGATCATTATCATTCAAGTGTGTTCAACTGCTACTTACTTCTAAGGAGTGAAAAAAAAGGATTGGTAAAGATTTCATTCTCACAAGTCCTGTATAATCACCCTGGTGTTACATATAAACAGCAGGTTACTGTACCTTAAACCACAGACTTTTGAACAGAACACACAAAATAGAAATGAACGCAAAAATTGAGCCATCTTAATTATCACTATAAACCACATTTTAGGAATGGAAAAGGAAATGTTGTTACAGCCTACCAATAACATAGTCACCTCTTGCACTAGAAAATTTGAACGAATCCATAAGTTGATTTAAACAATATGAACACCTTTAAAGTGCTTAAAATCCTCAAAGGGTTAGATTTTGAATGACAAGATTAACAGAGAGACTGGATAACTTTTCTCACGACCTACAAGGGGTAGATCTCCCATCTATTCTTTAGCCCATCTTTGAATGGGGTGATAACCAGGCAAATTATGTGGTTGTGGATGATCTGTTCTACTGTCAGACTACCTCACTGTGTGACTCTGAAAATCAAAGTTACTCTCCTCCTAATTAGAGATAAAGTATTCTAACTGTGAGACAACGTGTCAGTCAGAATAGACTCTTGGTTGATTACAAGTGCATCCATGGTGTGAAACAGACCGTATTACTCACTTTGGGATTTTCACCTTTATGTGGATATAGTGATCTCCATATCCGTAACTGTTGACTTTTGGGATACCTTTACCGGCAAGTCGAATCCTCTGATCAACCTGAACCCCAGCTGGAATCTGTGGACAAAAGGAACAGAAACAGTTAAACAGCTATGTTCACAAGCAGCCACCACAGAAGTCAGAAGCTCTCAATGTGATAAGAAAGCATGAACTCAAATTATTACAATCCAACTGGTAATGGGGAACAATGAGAATCACATGATCACAATTTGATCTGTCAGTTCTCCAATGTGGCCTCAACTCTGCAGGAATTAAAGGTTAATCACTGGGCCATTGCTGCAAGTAAAACGGGGAGGTCAACTTCTTGGGTAGAAAAGTGCTGGGAGATGGGAACGGCCTGATGATGTGGCATAGTGATTAGCACTGCTACCTCACAGCGCCAGGACACAGTTTCCATTCCACCTTTGGGCGACTGTCTGTGTGGTGTTTGCACATTCTCCCCGTGTCTGCATGGGTTTCTGCTGGGTGTTCTGTTTTCCTCCCACAGTCCAAAGATGTGCATGCTCGGTGGATTGGCAATGCTAAATTGCCCACTGTGTTCAGGGATGTGTAGATTAGGTGGGTTACAGGGAAAAGGTAGGGGGATGGGTCTGGGTGGGATGCTCTGAGGGTCAGTGTGGACCTGTTGGGCTGAAGGGCCTGTTTCCACATTGTACAGATTCTATTCTAAGGCTATGAAACTCCAGGAATAATACCACTCAATGATTACCATTGCCCTGCTGATGATAGCCCAGTGGCACTCACCGTGATATTGATGGTTTCATGCAGTCCTGCAGCCCGTGCAGTACCTCCCAGAACTGCCTGGGCTATGGATATATACAGGTCAGAATGAATGTCAGCTCCCTCCCTTCGAAAAGTTGAGCTCCTTTGGACCTAAAAAATTTTTACAAGAATATTTTCAAGCAAAACTGAAGCAACCCACAACATCTTCCTCCTCCTCAGCAAAACTACAACTAACTCTATCCTGCTCATCCTGAAAGACTACTCGTGTAGTGGTGCCGACTACCTCTCAGGCCAAATGTGTTTAATGGGATTGATAACAATGTTACCGGCTCCCCCCTCCCAAAGAAATCAGGTGAGTCTATACCCCACTTTACACCTCATATCCCTGCATATAATGTCACCAATGGGTAAATTTAACATCATGACAACAGGAAAAATAGCCAAAACTGTAAGTAATTCTTCTCCACGCCCAAGAAGTTGCATCAGAAACAACGAGCAAATCTTCTCTCATTAAAGTTTTTTTTCTAAAAAAGCACATCTTTAATCAATGCTTTCAAGTCAATTTAGCAGGCACACTCCCTAATAATCCAAACATTCGTCTCCAGCATGCTTAGTCACACGCCTTACCCTGAAGGTAATGAAGATCTCCTTGCGTCCCACTGGCATCCTTACAGTCTGTCCATCCTCCACGCCTGCAATGCATGCACACACTGCATTAGGTAAAGCACAAACACAGCCAGCCTATACAGAGACCAAACTAAAACCAACAGAACATAGATCACTCATTGTGATACAGCTTCATAGACTTCTCATGCTCAGCTTCAACTCATGTTATGTGATGACATAAGTGACTATACCATACCACAGAATCTGCTACCTATCCTTCGCCTCCTCCTGTTAATGGCAAATGAGGGCAGAGTCTGGTTTAGCTGTAACAGCTTCGCAGTTAGACAGCCTGAGCAAGGCAAAAGAATGAGGAACAGGCAGAGGCCATAAGGCTATGCAGACCTGCTCCACATTCAATCAGGTCATGGCTGATCAAATGTTGACTCAATTTATCCACTTTTTCTGTAAGCTGTTTGATATCTCACCCAGAAAGTAACTTTAGAAAGTTCAACTGGAAATAACAGAATCTCACTAAAGTACATCAGTAACTTCAGGAGCTTAACAGAGTCAATCAGGCACCAGTGAATGGACGGGAAGTGGCCAAGACTGTGTAAAAAAGAGATAAGTCTAATTCTGTTGGTTCCAAACTTATAGTGCAACATATAAACAATGATATTCTGCTGTCGATAGCCTGGAGCTTGGCTAAGCAGCACCCCTTATTCATGGAATTGCATGTAGCTCCTTTACTCCATTGCAGTAAATGACTTGGTGTCCAGTCCTTACCAGCCGGAACTGGTACCATCACTGTCCTCTTCTGTTTACTCTGCCCACTTCCTCGGCACACGATACAGGGTGTCGTCATAACAGATCCCCGCCCACCACATCGCCGACATGTAGAGCGCATCATGAACGGACCAGTGTTCAAAGTTTCCTGGAAGAGAATAAACACAGGGGAATGTGTTGGTGCCAAAAACACTACCACTAGAATGAAAGTCAAAACCAGAATAGTTTATGGGAAGACAGTGGCATAGTGATAAATGTCACTGGGCTAGTAATCCAGAGGTCTAGTCCAATGCTTTGGGGGTCATGGGTTTAAACCCCACAATGATAGTTGGTGGACTGTAAATTCAATCACAAAAATCTGGAATTGAAATCTAGTCTCAATTATAGTGACTTTGAAGCTCTTGTTGACTCTCATAAAACAAAACACATCTGCCTCATCAAGGTCTTTTAGGAAAGAAAATCTCCTGCCCTGACCTGGTTTAGCCTATACATGACTCATGTGGTTATAGCCTATACATTTGGTTAAGTCTTCAGTGATATGGCAAGCCACTCAGTTTAAGGGTATCTAGGTATGGGTAACAAATGTTGGTCTTATCAGTGATGCCCACATGCCACGTAAGAATTTTGAGGATCTATCGATCTTGATAAATCCAATTGACTTCCACTATCTACACCTCACACGGGGGAAGGAAGGAACGGACATCGTGAACATGAAAAGATGTGTGTGCGCATGTGTGCATATTGACTTCCCTCTTAAACAGCATAGCCCTGAGGTAAAGATTATGTTCCCTTGTTCAGGATTACCCCACCAGAAGAAATACATTTTGTTGTATCCACCTATGAAATCCATAACATTGTAAACATTTTGAACAGTTCATTCCTTAATCCTCCACATTTAATAGAATACAAGTTGTACAATCTGTCCTCATGATGTAATTCTTTAGGTCCTCATATCATTCTCACAATATATCTAGCAGGAGAAAACAGAACCCTTGTCCTCCTGCACTTTTCAAGAGTGAGTTTGTGAAATGTACTGTACCATGTACTCTTAAAAGCATACATGATAAGGCCGCATTCTCTAAAGACAAATACCACTGTATCGGTACTGTACCCCAAATATTGCATTTGCTTCTTTTACGCATATTCATACAGAACCCAAACAAACAAAAAAAAAAAATCAAATACTTTGGGCAACCCCTGGAACTGAACCCCAGTAAAATACACTGCCTTCAGGAGGGAAAGGGAAAGAAGTTAGTGACAACATTTGTACTCACCATGCCACTTCCGTTGCAATAATGGCAGTGCTGGACTTTGGTTCCTGGTTCATTTCCCTTACCATCACACCTCTGGCATGTGTCCTCTAAATTCACCGTAATCTCCTTGTTGACACCTTTTGCAGCCTGTGTAAAGGTCAGTTCCATGATATACTGCAGAGGAATATCAGATATTAGATACCAACATAGTGTCTAAGGAGCAATATTAAGCATCATTACTGCATAAAGCCAAAGCTCAAAGACAATTCCTGAACTTGATTTTAAAATGTGTAAATCTCATCCAAACCCTAATTGAAACAAAATTTTCTCTTTCACGGCAATGACAATAATGTGTGTGTTTGGTATTGGTTTGATGGCTTTTGCTTTAAATCTCGTCATAACAGTCAAATGGTTTAACAGCAGAATCATGAACCAAGCTCAACTCATTACTAGACTGCCGTTTAACGTGAAAGTCATCACAAATTCAAACTACATACATGACCTGAGAGATATATTGTTAGGCTATGACAACAGGTTATTTTCAAATACGTTTAAGAGTAAGCGGTAAGCAGCAGTAATAGCTTTAAGGGATATTTAAGGAATAGGTGGTGTTCAAATCTTGAACCCATACTATTATCATAAACAGCTCCCGCACAGATAAGACAGGCTTGATCACTTGATAGTGATCTAAGGTCAATCAAAACACTTTGAATTGCCCCAGGATGCTTTGGTTATTTATGGCCAACTGTTGGCTGCCAAAATACCACTTGCTAAAAAGTAACCAAAAAAATGAAAGCATTCAGATTATCAGTTTGATCTGCTGTCTGATGAGTTAATTATTCAGTGACCTTGTAAAGTAACCTGAAGGAACATGGTGTAGAGTGCAAATTAACCCAGAAGATCCAAAATAGTTCTGAAGTATTTAAAGCTGAGAGAGAGACAGACAGATGTTTGGTTTCTCAGGAAATCAAGGAACATGGGAAACTTCTGGAAAAGTGAGGTCAAGCACAATGTTAGTTATGACTAAATGATGGAGCAGGCTCACAGGGCCAAATGGTTCACTTCTGCTCCTATTTCTTCTTTCCTTAAGTGAAGTGGAGAAACACTCTCTTGGGGTTTGGTGGGCAATGAAGTGTTTGATCAGCCACGATTATATTGAATGGTGGGACAGGTTTGATGAATTGAATAGCCTAATCCTATTTCTATACAAGGAACTGAGGATGGACAGTAACAGTATCACTGTCTTCTGGATAACCAAATAGTTAGCTTACTCACCTCCTGGTGCTGGTCAAAGACAGTGTTAAAATCTCTGAATCCAGAGCCAGTAAACTCCCCAAAGATGCGTCTGAAAAGCTCCTCTGGATCCACTGAAGGCCCTGACTGCCAGTATTCCTGACTCCTTGACCCTCCTGCATCAAACCCAACTCTCCCATAAGAGTCATACTGTTTCCTCTTCACTTCATCACTCAGAACCTGTAATGCACAATTAGCATCAATCAGAGCTGGAAACCAATTAATAAGTAAACTCAAGGATAACGATCCCTAGGAATCCTGTATTACTGTTAGAGAATAGACAGTGATTGTCACACAATTTTCACGGTTTTTTACCTCAGATATAATATTCTTACTGTAGTGTTGTCCTTTAGAGATTACCTAACTAATCAATTGTGCTGGTACTGGCACATGAATAGAACACTGGTTCCTTCTCTCGCAATTCCCAACTACACACACAATTCTCAACCCCTCTCTTCCCTCACAACTCTATGAAGAGTGGAAATGCTGTGGCTGTGCTGACATCTGCTGTCCACCTCCCCATACAATCAGCCAACTCGGGGCCCAGAAACTCCCCTCCAGACTAGACAGATTGCTGTATTGGTGCCAATACAGTTAGGGGCTTTCATTGGACTACATTCGTTACCTCATATGCTTCTGCCACTTGGGAAAATTTCTCCTTTGCCTTTGGATCATCTTTGTTTGTATCTGGGTGGTATTTCTTTGCAAGCTGTATATGCAAGAACACAAGATTTATTCAAAGCTACAAGTAGTTATAACTGAAACCAATCTTTTCCCTGTAGGTTTTGCTGGGATAAATACTCCAACTATTAAAATAGGTTTGATGAAGACAAATTTCCCAATGTAATTCTTTTCCATTTTTTGTTTAAAGTATACACCAGACAGTGTTGCAGTGATAGTGCCCCTCTGGCTCAGAAGTTCAGGTTCAAGTCCTATCTGCCCCAGACAAATCTCATGACATATCTGAACCAGACAGTCACTACTGCAGACATCTTATTTTAAAAGCAGCTTCATTTATAAAAGAGGGGATTCAAATATGACCCAGTAGATGCTGCCTAGATTCAGATCCATCAGTCAAAATTGGCCACTTGCAACTCTTGATGTCACGAAAGTGGACTAGCAAAATCAGCTCCTTCATGACAAGGAGGGAGAGGAAGACATTAAAGTAAGTTAAATTTGACTAAGATTCCAATTACACAACTCAATTTGATGAGCTGGAAAAATTATTCTGGTTGATGGCTTGTTGCAATTAAAAAAAAATTCCCATTGATTACTTGTATAAATACAGGAATTTAAGTTGTAAGTCTGGTTTAAATGACATACTCTTCTCATACCTGATAATAAGCCTTCTTTATCTCTCTTTGCGTTGAGTTGCGAGGGATCCCCAACACCTCATAATAATCAGTTTTGGCTAAAGGAGAAGCTGTATGAAATGCAGCAACACCTAGAGAATTTGGTGAACAGCCTTGAGGCAAATGAAGGGGAAAAGAACAATTAGGAAAAACACCCACAATCTCCCGCATTTAAAAAAACTATAAACCATTTTCTTCCTTGCATCAAGAAGTGACACCGTTTTCTCCTCTGACTAATGGCAACAGCTACATCTGATGCTCATGCGATTCATCGCAAGCAAGTCCAAATCTTTCCTTACCAGACAATCTATCCCCAGTGGGATAATGCCTGGGAGCACAGACACTGCCCAGATTGTGGAGGGGAGCATTGACACTGCCCTTCCAAGGGTCGCTTGAATTTCCTCTCTGTCATGGGGCGGAACAGGCTATGCAATAGTTACCAGGCCGATGCCCGCCGGCCCTGCTCGCTTTCCTTACCGGAGAGCCGCAACCTTAGTTCCAGGCCGAACCTGAGACCCAGACCTCCAGCCGATAGCAATCCAGGGCCCACACAAAAGGCAGTACGGAGACCCCGAGTGGCGAGTATCCGCACGGTGCCAGGCCGGACTCCAGCCAATGGGTTCCAGGTCACCGACACCAAGCGAAGGTAACACCGTGCAGCCGCCATCTTAGCGCCTGCGCAGACCAACAACCCTTTCCGGTCCCGCACATGCGCACAACCATCCCATAATCACATTGCGCCTGCGCAACAAGCCTAGTTGCCTCGTAGCCTGGAGTTAGGTTCATGCACCGTCAACCATGTGTTAGGCCTATGCTCCCATCCAGGGAAGTACTGCTGCACTGCTACAGAGGTCATTTTTTTGATGAGACATTAATTTGAGACGGTGTCTATCCTCTCAGCCCGGTGAAAATGATTTAATGATACTATCCCGGTGCAAACATGATGGGCGGAATAGCCTCTTGCACCATAGATTCTGTGCTTATTCAGAGACTTAGGTGGATAGCTTTAGGCTGATTTCTTGTGCATGTATTTATTATTTAAACAATTTCCCTTAAAGAAAGCTGCTGCTGTGTTTCCTTGATTTAACTCAGATACTGTACCTTTTTATGTCTTGCTTTGTTAGCATTTGTCCTCAGCTTATTTTGACTCATACAAGTCAAATTTTGTTTCGTCCCGTTTTATCATCAGGAAGGAATGAGGGTTCTGATTTCATAGAACATAGAACAGTACAGGCCCTTCGGCCCATGACGTTGTGCCGACCTATTATCCTACTAAGATCAATCTACCCTGCATACCCTACATTTTACTATCCTCCATGTCCCTATCCAAGAGTTGCTTAAAAGTCTCTAAATTATCTGACTCCACTACCACTGCTGGCAGTGCATTCCACATGCCCACCACTCTCTGTGTGAAGAGCCTACCTCTGACATCTCCCCTATACCGGCCTCCAATCACCTTAAAATTATGGCCGCTCATAATAGTCACTTCCGCCCTGGGAAAAAGTGTCTGACTATCCACTCTATCTATGCCTCTCATCATCTTGTAAACCTCTATCAAGTCACCTCTCATCCTTCTTTGCTCCAATGAAAAAAGCCCCATTTCCTCTTTACTTAAGACAAGGCCCACAGATTCAAACATTAGTTATTTCAATCAACCTGTTCAAAAACATAACTGGGGAAAGTGGGATTTGGTTTCTAGCCCAAAGGTACAGGCACTACCAATGTACCGCAGGCTCCAGATTTAAACCTTATAAGGATGCAGTTATTAATCAGTAGGAGCTCCTGCTTGTGGAAACTTCAGTGCTTTCTGGCATGGAATGAAGCAGAAATTGCTGCTCCAAAATCTAACAAAGGATTTTGGAAACTGCAAGACAGTAAAGCCAGTGACCAAACCATACATTCTATACAGAGATTTCATTGTGAATATAGTTTTGCTTACCTACTTGCTGCTATGAAGACTTGCTGACAGGACCTGTAGTTGACAGCACCTAGACAATGGATTTCATGGCTTTTAATGGTCGTCAAAATCTTTTACAAGGAACAACCAGTAGCTGGGGACTTGCAGAGACTTCTCCATTGTATCAATCTTACTTCATTGTTAGAAAGTTCAAATCCTGCTCCAGGTATCTAAACTCATAATCCAATGGAGCACTGAATAAGTAAGTATTGTACCTGTCAAGATACCTCAGAACACCCTGTAATAATACTCATCAGGCATTTTACTACATTTAGTGGTGATATATAAACACAAATAATTGTTGACACAACATATACAGATGTTTGCAGGCAAGATTTAAAACTGTCCTGTAAATGAGTTGTGCAGTGCACTGTTGTTCCTGCTCCCACCAATTGAGCCCCACACTCCATCTGTGCATGACATGGTGGCACAGTGGTTTAGCACTGCTGCCTCATCGTGCCAGGGGCCTGGGTTTGATCCTAGTTTGGGCAACAAGTTTTGTTTACACATTCTCCCTGTGTCTGTGTCAGTGTCAGTATCCTCTAGGTACTGCGGTTTCCTCCCACAGTCCAAAGATTTACAGGTTAGGTGGATTGGCCATGGTAAATGTAGGTTATGGGGATTGGGTGGGCTGCTCTTTGGAAGGTTGGTGCAGAACTTGATAGGCTGAACGGCCTCTTTCCGTACTGTAGGGATTCTATGTCTATAGGCTCTTACCTATTAAGAGTTTCCCCATGTAATTCCTAGGTTCCACCAATTCTCTCAAGAATCCTCCACTTTATGCACTTTTTTTATTCACTCGGTGAATTTCTGCAGTGCATCTTGTCGCTAGTAGAAACTGCTGCTTCTGAACATTGGTGGTGGAAGAAGAAGTGAATGTTTGTGGATGAGCACTAACTGTTGGCTTGCTCTTGTGAGCCGTGTCACTCTCTCCTATGGAGGAGGTGCTGTTTTGGCTAGACAGCTGGTCTGTAATGCAGAGGGATCCCAACAGTTTGGGTTCAGTTTCTGCACTGGTAGAAGTTAACACGAAGGATTCTCATCCTCAGGCTATTACCTCGCCTGAAGTGTCGTGTTAAACCACCAGCATTCGTCACTCTTGTTTTATGAGAGAGTGATCCTGTACGATTATGGAGATTTACCTTTTCTTCAATCTAACATTGCAGCAGTGGGCGGTGCCTCTGATTGTCTGGTGGACGGGCGCACTGGCTGCGGGGATGTGTAAGGCGTGGCCCGGTCCCACCCCTCCCCTCCCCTCCCCTGCTAGGCTATTCCAGTCGTTCCCGGCTATTCGGACAGGTGGAGCAATCGTTGGTCTAGTGGCTGTTAGAGCGGGAGCAATGAACCGCTTCCGAAGCTCGAAATATAAGAACACGGCACCGCGGCTTCCGGGCCGGGCGGTGAGTATCAGAGAAGGGAACAATTACCCCACTAGAGGGTAAGAGGGAGGGTACTGGGGTGCTGTTCTGGTATAGGGCTGTTGGGGGCCGTACTCTGCCCTCGGTTTCCACTGCTCCTTCCCCACTTCCCTCCAGCCCATGTCCCTCCCTGGGTGTTGCAGGTACGGGCTCCCCCGGGACCTGGCCCTGTTACCCTTGAGGTTCAATTGCTGCGGAAGCCGTTGCTTCCTGTGAGGAAGTTGCAAAGATCGAGCTCCGAACGCTTTAACACAAATTCTGTTCTAGGTTGTCATAGAAGCAGCAGCAAAGAGAATTCTAGCCTCCTCACGCTTGCCTTTCTGTAGTGCCTTTCTCATTTTCGGGAGGTACTTCTGAAATGTAGTCAATGTTGCAAAGTAAATAACGGGACAGCCAATTTATGTACAGCAAGATCTAAAACAACAATGTGATAGTGACAAGTTTTCTAGATCATCTATTTTTGTGTTGCTGCTTGTATAATCAGTATTGGCTTGAATGTAAAAAATGTGCAGGGGGATATTTTATAACTACGTGAGTGGGCAGATAGGGATCCAGGTTCAATGTCTCCGCCAAAAGATTGAGTGCTGCCCTCTCTAACAGGTCATAGAATCGTACAGCACGGAAATAGGCCCTTTGGTCCAACTCATCCATGCTGAACAGGTTTCCAAAATTAACCTAGACTTATTTGCCAACATTTGGCCCATGTTTCTCTTAAACCCTTCCTGTTCATGTATGGATCCAGATGCCTTTTAAATGTGCCTCTGACACTCCATGGAAAATAGCCTCAGCCTATTTAACCTCTTCCTACAACTGAAGCCCTCCAACCCCAGCAACATTCTTGTAAATCTTTTCTGCACCCTTTCAAGTTTAACAACACTTTTCCTATAGCAGGGAGACCAGAATTGAATGCAGTATTCCAAAAGTGGCCTAACCAATGTCCTGTATAAGACCATAAGACAGAGGAGCAGAAATTAGGCCATTCGGCCCATTAAGTCTGTTCCACCATTCAATCATGGCTGATAAGTTCCTCAACCCCATTCTCCCGGTTTCTCCCCGTAACCCTTGATCTCCTTGATAATCAAGAATGTATCTATCTCTGTCTTAAATGTACTCAATGACCTGGCCTCCACAGCCTTCTGTGGCAGTGAATTCCGTAGATTCACCATTCTCTGGCTAAAGTAGTTTCTCCTTATCTCTGCTCTAAAAGGTCTTCCCTTTACTCTAAGGCTGTGCCCTTGGGTCCTAGTCTCTCCTATCAATGGAAGCATCTTCCCAACATCCACTTTGTCCAGCCATTCAGTATTCTGAAAGTTTCAATTAGATCCCCCCCCATCCTTCTAAACTCCAATGAGTACAGTCCCAGAGTCCTCAAACATTCCTCATATGTTAAGCTTTCCATTCCTGTGACCATTCTCGTGAACCTCCTCTGAACCTGCTCCTGGGCCAGTACATCCTTCCTGAGATATGGGGCCCAAAACTGCACACAATATGCCAAATATGGCCTGACCAGTGCCTTATAAAGCCCCAGTAGTACATCCCTGCTTTTATATTCAAGTCCTCTGCAGCATGACTTCCCAACTCCTGTACTCCATGCACTGGCTAATAAAGGCTGGTGTACCAAATGCTGCCTTCACTATCCTATCTACCTGCAACTCCATATTCAAGGAAGTATGAACCTGCACCCAAAGGTCTCTTTGTTCAGCAATACTCCCCATTAAGTACATAAGTTCTGCCCTGATTTGCCTTTCCAAAATGCAACACCTCACATTTATCTAAACTCAACTCCATCGCCCATCTGAACAAGGTCCTGTCGTATTCCTTTATTCATTCACGGGATGAAGGCATCACTGGCTAGAGCAGCACTTATTGCCCATCACTAATTGCCCAGAGGGCAGTTATGAATTAACCCTACTGCTGTGGGTCTGGAGTTGCATGTAGGCTAGACCAGGGAAGGATGGCAGTTTCCTTCCCTAAAGGGCATTAGTGAACCAGATGGGTTTTTCTGACAATTGGCAATGGTCATCATCCAGATATTTATTGAATTCAAATTCCACCATTTGCCATGGTGGGATTTGAATCCAGGTCCCCAGAATGTTACCTAGGTCTCTAGATTAACAGTCCAGCGATAGTACCACTAGGCCATTGCCTCCCCAATAATTTCTGAGATAACTTTCTTTATTGTTCACTACACCACCAATTTTGGTGTAATCTGCAAATTTACTAATTATTCCTCCTATAATTGCATCTAAATCATTTATATAAATGACAAAAAGCAGTGGACTGAGCACCGATCCTTGCGGCACACCGCTGGTTACAATCCACCACCACCACCACCACCCTCTGTCTCCTACCTTTAAGCCAATTTTGCATCCAAGTGACTAGTTCTCCCTGGATTCCATGTGATCTAACCTTACTAAGCAGTGTACCATCTTGTCAAGCGCCTTGTTGACAATCATAATCTGTATGCTGGGTGTAGGCAGGGTCAAAAGGCTTGACAAGATCTTTCATGCATCAGTTGAAGTATTTTGAATACTATCCTCTTATCAGAGGAGTCATTCTGTGCTAGCAGTGCATGTTTAGAAGCTCCGGGGTTGGGGGGGGGCGCGAGAAAAGGTGCTAATTGAGGATTTCACGTTTAGACTTTGTATTAATCCCTGTTCTATTTGTTAAAATCCCTTAAAGGTTAGCATTTTAAATACTGATGGGGCTAGGCTTCATTGTGTAAAATCTCACCATTTCTCATGGTGGTATTGAGTGAAGTGTGAAACAGAGTGCTGGTAATTTGATGAGTAAGCCAGCACAGCAGGGAAGGGAAGGAGGTGCACCTTTGCTTTGCTGCTTCTACTTTTTCACTATCTTAAAATTTGATTGTTATTCTATTGGGGGGAGCGGGGAAGCTAACGTTTGAGTATCAGTCCAGTGGTTAAAAGCTATTCTATTCGTAAGGTTTTAAATAGTACATAGACTGAATGAAAACAATAAAATATGTAAAATAAACTTGAACAAATTATTTTAGTTAATGAAAACATTAAGGATAGAAGGGCAGGTAATGTGTCATGGCTGCAGCATTTGGGAGCTTCTGGATGCTAGTATGATCCAGCCCAGACATGTCTGTAGTAATAGTTTATAGCTGGAACGGCTTCTGTTCTGTTTGTGCTGGAGGATAAATCCCAGATATTGTGACATCAGGAAGGGACATTGTCACACTGCTATTTTGTACTAGGACATGATCACAACCATTAGAATAGGGAAAGGAGGGTGATACTGTAAATGAGGGCATAAGTGTTAGAGCATTAGCGTTTGCACAGGTTTAATGTTCTTTCTGTTTGTTTGGATGAGCTGGAGATAGTATAATGAGAGACAGTAGACACTGTTCTATGTAGCCTAAAGCATGAGGCCAATAGACTATGTTGTCTACCTGGTGCCAAGATTTGGGACGTTTGTTCAGGATACTAGGAAGGAGGTTCTGCTTAGACAGATATGAGGAGCAGGCACCACACTGGAGAGCAGAAACTTAAAGGTAATGATCTCTGGTTTATTATGTGAACCAAAGGCACATTGGCAGAAGACACAAGACTAGTGGTTTTTGACTTGAAAGCTAATGCGGGGAAAATGAGTTCTGGTTCATGGAGCACTGGCATCAGTACTTGAGAAACATGGGCTATACTGTTAGAATGATCTACACCTAAAAAGTGCCTTGACCAATGCTCTAGCAAATCTTTTAACGAGGGAAGTAGAGAGGTCTTTTAAACTAAATAGTGGAGGTGGTACAAAAAGACAAATCTAAAGGGTCTGTAGCATTCATAGTAGGTAATAGAAATGGTTTACTGGATTAATGAGCAGATTGTGCTAAAGGATGGGTTGGACAGACTGGGCTTATTTTTAGTGGTGTGTGATTGAGTGGATTGAGGTGTGACTTGATTTAAGTATTTAAGATCCTGACAAAATGGATGTAGAATGGATTTTACTCCGGCGGGTAGGTCCAGAACTAGTGGGGCTGTTTTAAAGTTAGGGGTCAACCTTTTAGGAGATGAGAATTTTTTTCTGCTTTGCAACTGTGAGAGTTTGGAACTGTCTACATCAAGGTGTTATAAATGGGATCATCAAATAATTTTAAAGCAGAAGTAGGTTGATTCCCTCGCCAACAAGAATTTAAGGTTATGGGCCTCGATGAGGATTAGAATTTGAAATACAAAGCAACCAGGATCTTATTGAATAGTGGAGCAGACACGAGGGGTGAATGGTCTGCTTCTGCTCCTAATTGTATGTTAGAATGTATGCTGGATAATTCCACAAAATAATATTTTAACTGCTGTCAATGTAACATCTCTGCAAGCTCAGTATTAGCCTATTGGGAAGTAGGACAGTTGTAGGCCAAAACAGATTAAGTTCTGTTCTGCAAGTAATCAGAAAACAGGCCTGGGAGAAACAAACAAAGTATTATTCTTTACTTGATATATTTTGCACGTGAAAGTAACTTTTCGGCTTAATTGCTTTGAGACAAGATGATGATATTGCATAAGTTAAGCATAAAGAATACCTTTAAGGGCAAATATTCCAGAGTCGAGCCAGTGCTGAGTGCAGAAAGTAGTTTTTGTGATGTGATTTGTTAACTGGTGACTAAACAATGGTTATGACATTGAACTGGAACTGGTCCAATCATATGTTTGCAAGTACATGATTTGGCTAATTCCATTGTAGCCTTCCTATTGAGCAATTTGCATTTACATTAATAAAGAGTTAGTATTTTATCTGTCAGTGTACTGCAGGGAATTTCTAAATTGGTATTGGTTTCTAGTTCTGTCCTTTATCTTCGTTTTATGACTTGTTGGTAAAGTACCTTTTAAAGGTGTCATATATATGGTGCCTTGCATAGTAAGCGCAGGACACCTTTATCATTCACATCCCTCCAGGCATAAACTCAAAGGGATCAGTTGCAATCAGTGGGTTCAAGTCTTGCAGTAGATCTGGAAATGAATGAT